CATAAGACAATATTCTAACATACATAGTAGGAGGGAAGGCATCACAGGGCAAACCTAGCCACTACATAAATCCAAAATGGAGTTTTCTTTTTTGTTACGTTCAAATTACTGTGAAAGTTGATAATGACATTCAATGTTTCCATACTAATGGACTCACAGAGGTATTTGTGGCCCATAGATTGGGTCCTCAGAGGCCATTGAGCCCATTTTCACATTGGTATTTGGAGTGGAAAGTTATCTAGCCCACACTGAAGGTGTCCGGCAAAGGAGAGACACAATGGCTATTACCAGTTTGCGGTGTGTGAAGAAAATCTCCTGGGAGAGCTCTTTCTTTTCTTCATATCATTTTGCAACCATCTCCACTTGCCCGTATAATGGAGCCTGCTTCTATAGCACAAATATTTGAAATCACGTTCTAAAGAGGAATCGTGATAGAAGGCTGAAAAAAATGCTTTCATTTTCTTTTATAACCTAAGGAGACCTCTTACAGACGATCACATTCAACATCTAAATATCTAGTGACTAAGAGAGTAATCACACTGGGGAGTGCTCAGATTTATAGAGGAGGACATGAATGCCAAAACCGAGATGTCTCGAAGTTATTTTTTCTAGGGTGTAAGAACATAGGCATCCCACGTGTCTTGAGAAATAAGAGTGAAAGTCACGACCTAGTCCTTCCTCCTCCTTTTAACAAATGTGACTAAAGCCAGATGTGTTCCAGGATGATGCTGACTAACTGTTACTGCTAACATGCACTAGCAGTTCCAAGACATGAGGGCAACTGATAAAGGGGATTTGCTTGGTTTTCCAGAAGCAAGTTCTGTTCTGTTCTATCCACTTGCTCAATCTCTATTCTCTCATTCATGTGGAGTAATAGGATTGGCAATAAACACCACCAGGCAAATCTCAGAGGACTCTTGAGTTATTACAGTGATTTTCTAATCGTCTACTCTGTACTTTTATAAAATGATTATCAGAAACTGAGTCAGCAATTGGAAGGATTAGAAATAGCTTCTACGTACCTATTTCCTGCATGTGATGATTTCCCACACATTATCATAACAAAGCCCCTGTTCTTCTTTAAGTAGAATAAGTCATCAGAGAGGTAGATATTATAACACTGTAGAATTTCCAGTACTTGGAATGGGAATATACTTGGAATATAATTGGAATTTCCAATACTCAATGTCCTCAATTTGGATTTGCCTAAGAGGTTGAAATCTCAGGTTCAGGAATTAGGCTGCACTGAATCTTGGTTCTACCACTTGGTGGCTATGTGACCTTGGGAAAATTACTTGACCTCTTTGTGTTTCAGCCTCCTCATCTATAAAATGGAGTCGATAATAATAAGAAAAATACTCAGCTCATTGTTGGTATGATAAATGACAGCAATTATAATAATTTCATTTTTAGACTTTAGACTGCTGTAGCATTCAGTTTTTTCTAAGTTTATCTGCATCTAATGGATTCAAAGTATATTTTACTGACTATCAGATATTAAATGCCTGTGAATGTCTGTATGTTGCTAGGAGTGCTGGTGGGTGATAAGACTTTAATCTGAAAAAGGGAATGTACTTAGGTGACCATGTAAGCCAGATGATTTGCTGTCAATTTCTGAATGGGTCCCCTAGTTTGGTCTTACACACTGTTAAGGAGCATTTATATTGTAGGACGTCTTTCCTGATGTCTAATTGAAATTTTATAAAATGCCTCATGTTTTATTTCTCATTTATGGAGATGCTAAACAGCACTTTTTGTTTTATTTTTTTTTTTAAATTTTTTTTTTCAACGTTTATTTATTTTTGGGACAGAGAGAGACAGAGCATGAACGGGGGAGGGGCAGAGAGAGAGGGAGACACAGAATCAGAAACAGGCTCCAGGCTCTGAGCCATCAGCCCAGAGCCCGACGCGGGGCTCGAACTCACGGACCGCGAGATCGTGACCTGGCTGAAGTCGGACGCTTAACCGACTGCGCCACCCAGGCGCCCCACACTTTTTGTTTTATATTGGAACAATGAATACTTGACAGCAATTATTTTACCATTTGTCAGTACTTAAAAAATAATACAGTTTTTTAAAAAATTTCTTTTGTCTTAGGCTCCCCTATCCTACTTCTTTAAACCCATCCTCTCAGAGGTTGAACCCCGTGAGGGGAATCTGGACTCTGAGGGCACTGATTAAATCCAGAGCAGTAACAAGACTCAGGTACAGTCTGTCAGGGGCTAAGCTGGGGGCTATTTGTTTTTTATATATTGACTTATCTCAGGGAGGAAAGAAGCCCCATCTTCATTTACCAGATTTACAACGCACTGGGTATGGTATAGTGATGTATTTGATTTGATTAATACATAATCACAATCTTGAAACATCTTACTTTAATATTTGAGGCATATTTGATTTTGTCATTTCCAAATATTATTCATTCATTCACTCACTCAGCAAGTATTCATTCCCTGCTATAAACATACAAGGAAGTATGCTAGACTTTTCCATATATGCCTTCTGGCCCTAACTGGATTATGAACCCCTTCAGAGCAGAGATATTCCACCTTTCTCATATTTTATCCCAAGTCTTGGCCTGCAGAAGACATTCAACCAATACGACAAACATACATTACGTAAATGAAATGTAGGATTCAGGTACTACGTTTGCTGTGCATAACCAAATAATAAAATATTTATTCCTATGTCTCGATCATCTTTAAAATTTAAGAACACGAATGTAAATATTGTCTCCATGAATAATATGTGTCGGCAGCATTATGTTAGACCTTTCATTTCTGTGAAATGTATAATCTAGATGCTTATATAAAAATAAGATGAGATCAACAACCTACAAACATTTTTCAGGGAATCAAGAGTTTTTGGTGAAAATAATAGTTGAACATAGGATTTCTCTCAGACTCACATCCCCTTTCATGTAGCAAAAGGAAATGAACAAAGAAAGCTAAGCACACTGAAGTTTTTAGGGCCAAGCATTTTGATTCAATATGTTCCGCTATAAAATATTTGGCCTTGTTTGAATTTTTATTGCTATATGTTCTCAGTCTATATTTAACTGTGAGAAACACAAGTAAGAAAGAGTAAATGTGCAAACTGTTCTTTTCACGTGTATGGCAGAGAATTTGAGAAAACATATATTAAAGGAACACTTTGTGTTTTTAACTTTCAGCCCCTCTTCTGAGGCCTCCTTTGGCCAGATTTGATTAAATGCTTATTGAGCTAAGGACTCAGCTTACTTGGAATGAGAATTCTTAAGGGTCTCTCAGAGCCATCTAAGATGAGCACCCTACTTCGCCATGCTCTCAAATAAAGTTTCTTTTATGCTGTTTTTCCATAGGTGGAATAAGGTCTAATGAGAAAGTTTTATAACGGAGACATTCAATTCCCCAATTCCTTATTTGCTCAAATTAACTTTTTAAAAATTGGGGTGTTCACTCTGGCATCAGCTCAGCGCAGACTCTGTAATCAGCCAACAATGTGCGCCTCACAAAGCCTGCCATCCTGCACTGCCAGCCTCTTCCATCCACAACTTTTCCGTGGGCGAATACAATTTAGCTGGCGCCTCTCCATGAGCCCCTCACAGCTCCATCTGGCCAAATCAACAGGCTTTCTTCCATTCAGTCTTAACTTCTTGGCAGTTAGCAAGAAAACAGACTTGCCACAATGGGTAATCTTTAAGATGCTCAACATCCTAAAACGAAAGGAACGGGTACAGGTGGTGTAATCTGTGGCTCTCTAGAGAGTGGCTCATCTACAAAGTGGCTTTGGGCTCAGCAGTGTTTTATCGTTGTTCTCTTGGTTGAAACTGCAGTTCTCGAGCACTGTCAGTGGTGAGTACTCTTTGTCCTCAGAAGGCAAATGAGTGATGAAATACTCCATTTGCAAGGACAGTATAATTTGTGAAAACAGACTTATTATCAACCTAACTCCACTGGTCAGATTGGAGCAAGTGTAACCAGGAAGGCAGAATGGTGGAGTGGTTAAGAGCATGGGCCCTGCAGTCAGACTGAGTTCAAAATCTGCTGCTATTCATTTATTACCTGTCTGACCTCAGTTAATCAAATTGCTCTGTACCTCAGTTTCCCCATAAGTAAAATGGAGATAATATCAGTACCAACCTGATAAGATCATTGTAAATGTTAATGAGCTATAGCTGACATGTTTAGCACAGGGCTTGGCTTATATTCACTAATTGTTATTTTTAGGCAAAGTCAGTAGACCAAATTCTTTGGGCAGCAGAAACGGAGGGAAAGGATGAATAATAGCTAGGAAGGCATTCCTCAATTAATTCCTCACTCTTGAAGCGTTTCACAGCAGAATCACAAGCAAAAGTGTAAGGGGTAGGGCACCTGGGGGGCTCAATCAGTTAAGGGTACGACTTTGGCTCAGGTCATGATCTCAGGGTGTGTGGGTTCAAGCCCACGTCGGGCTCTGTGCTGACAGCTCAGAGTCTGGAGCCTGCTTCAGATTCTGTGTCTCCTTCTCTCTGCCCCTCCCCCACTCATGCTCTGTCTCTTTCTCTCTTGAAAATAAATAAACATTAAAAAAATGTTTTTTGAAAGTGTAAGGGGTGACCACGAGATGACAGGGTTGTGCATGCATTCACTCCTTTAGCGGCATCTCCTTTCTTTGAGGTTTTTGACAGAACACCTCTTTTTCTCTAACCCTCAGGGTCATCTGGACTGAAATGAATGCTTTCAGGACAAAATAGCCAGTACTACTTTCTTGATGACTACACATAAGTTGTTGTTTCTTTTGCTCGTTTCTGGTTTATGTTTCTCTCCCTTTCAACATCTTCCCTTTCTCTCACTCCCACTCTGGGGAAATACCTCTCTCACCATGAGGCAGAGGCCACCAGGCATACCTCTGTGCATTATTACAACTTAGGACGTTCATGCAAGAAGAAGGCCAGTTAGAATGGCAGGGCTCATAGGTCCCTGTAAACCCCAGGGGCACAAGTGATTCTGAGCAGCAAGAGGAAGGGAGGGGTCTCTCACCGGTCGCTTTCTCGGGGTTGTTGCACATGAAGCATTGCCATGCTCCTGCTGCTTCGCTGAAGCCAAATACATCAAAGAATCTCACTTCTTCCAGATGGAGCTGTACCTGGTCCAGATCCTGTTCCAGGAACACAAAGCACAAAGCACATAAGCTGATCTGCCTGCTATGTAGCATTCAGAGACTGGAAAAAAAGGGATATGGGAGCAGGATGGCCAGTACTCAGACTCAGTGCTAAGGACAAGGAGGGAGCATTGAGAAAACCTCTCTGAGCCCATCTTGCAAAAGAGCAACTATGTCAAACCCTTCCAAGGGACTTCTCTTAAGTGCAGAGGACAGTGATCGTGGGCCCCAGAGCTAGGCCCCAGGGCTCGGGGGTGGGGCCTGAAGCGGTCCAACATTTTCTTACATCTAATGGCAACTCCAGAATTTCTAAAAAGAAGGGGTACGCAAGGGACAGCGTGGTTGATAGGAAAGTTGTAGGGGAGTTTGTCTGTTATTTACACTTTGCACAAAATTGAGGATCCATTATCCATATCAAAACATTATTTTTGTTAGGTTGGCTTCGTAGGTGGCTGGTGGGAAATATGGGAGAGGGCTTAATCCCTCAGCCCTTTGCTCCGGCACTGTTTCGGTTTTATATTTTATCTTAACAGTATATGCAAATCCTGAATTATATTCCATGGTGCAGCTGTATTGGTTTTAATAGAAAAATAAAGTCTTAAATTACTTATCAGTAAATTAATTAACTTTCCCCCTCCCAATAGCTGAGTTGAATGGACACACCAAGAAGACTGACGCTGTTTTATGTGCCCTGTGGCATCGTGCCAACGTGTTCCTGTTTAAGAGGCAGAGGAGAAAGGTTCTATTACACTGTAAATGGATGGAATACTATTAGCCTAACCAAATTAAATAGCTCTACTGTCCTCCTGAGGCTTTCCTATTATGTAAATGCCTTGTGTCCTCTGCTACAGGGTGGTCAGAACTGCTCTCTTAAAAGCTTGCTTTCCTCAGAGGGATTTAATGTCTTTGCTAGCCTTCCACGTGCCTAGCTGACTTATGTGTTTGTCCTCTGCAGACTTGTGATTTTATTCCCCTTCCTCTGGTCCACACATTCTTATCTTCTACCCATAGTAACAGCTCTTAGTAAGCCCAAGAGCCAAAGGATGGAGGCACTGTTTGTGCTGCTTACGATGGCTCAAAAATAAAGAATGGGCAAGTGGCTCCTCAGTTTCTACCCCAAAGCTCCTGTTTCCCAGGCCTATGTTTCTTAACAGAGGTGAGAAATATGCCAAACCCTAAGAACCCTGCGAGAATAAAGATCTACTTTGTTCACAGTTGTATCCCCAGAATCTAGTCCAACATCAGGAATGGATTAACATTGGTTTGCAAGCCCAGTGCAAAGTTTTCCAATGAACCATATGAAAGTATTATGAACATTTAAAGGGAATTCTTTTAAGAGAACATTTACACTCACTGGAACATAAACACAATGAAGGCAGGGATTTTCTCTGTTATATTGGCTGCTATGACCTCAGTGCTAAAAATGCCTATCCCATAAGCAAGCATGAAATAAATATTTGTGGAATTATGAAAGGCATAAACTGGGACTAGAAAGAAATACTTTTCAGCATTCTTTATTAAGACTATTATGGCTTGTGTTCTGGCATTGGACATCTTGGAGCCTCAACATGCTGAATATAGTATTTTGAGTTGCTAACATTTAATACCATTTTTTTTAAAGCATATTCCCAAGATAAAGACTGAAGAAGCACCTGGGAGTTTTGCAGGTTTCAAAGGATGAAATCTATATTTAAATTTATGGGGGAAAAGCAGATGTTCATAAATCTCAGTTTCAGAACTCTGAAGTCTCTGAAGTCTATTGGCCATTGGCATGCAGATCACTTCTCTATTTCACACACAACCAAGGATCAATTTTTCATTCACCACAAACACTGCTAACAAACAAAGTACTTAAAATAATACTTAAGGGTTCCTTTATTTTTCCTGTTCTGAGACCAGAAATGTCCCAGGTTGTTGCCTACAATCCACATTTGTCTTGGCAATAAGTTACTTAAAAAGTTTAGGACAGATGGCAAGCTACATCCCAGCGTTCAAGTTCTGAAGTCAAAAGCAGGCTAATTCTTTAGAGGATTTAGGTGTTATGCAAAGGGAACTGACTGAAGAAGATGGAGGGTAATTCTCTGAACTGTTGAAATCAGCAATAACAGCCAACCTTGAAGAGAGACAGATGCAACACATGTAGCTCCAAATATTGTTGGAAAATCAAAGCAAAATAAATCACAAAACAAGCAAACACAAACCATCAAATAGCGATACCTACATTTTTGGAATTTTGGTTTCTTGACTGTGCTTGAGGTCATTATTTCTCTCTCCTCCTTATCTTCTTTACCCTCCTGGGTCTTATAATTTCTGAGGCCTTGCCCGAGAATTACTATATGGCTTTTTTTTTAATACCAAGAGAATTAAAATTGACTTATTTAGAGAATTATAAGCTTATTTTAAAACAAATAGACCCCAGAAGAATAATAAAAATCATTCATATCTAAGTATAGTTCCTCCCTGAAGTACTTTAGTTCAATGGCATTGTGGTAGACAGACCCTAGGGTGACCCGCCCCCCACCATAATTCCCATCTTCTGGTGCTCATTCCTTCATGTAAACCCTTCTTAGGTGTGGGAGAGACCTGTGACTTGCTTCTGAGAAAATGACAAAGATGATAAGATATCAATCCCATGATTATGTTATTATGTACACAAACACATACACACCACACACACACTGCACACTACACACACACCCACACACACACACACACACACAGACCTATCTTGTTAGCAGATGCATAAGGGAGACTCTCCTGTTGGCCTGAAGAAGCAAGCTGCCATGCTATGAAGTGCCTATGGACAGAGCCACAAGGCAGGTAACTGTGGGTGGCCTCTTGGACCTTAAGGCAGCCTTCAGCCAATAGCCAGTAAGAGTTCCAGGTCTTTAGTCCTACAATCCCAAATAATGATATCTGCCAACAGCCTAACCATGTTTGGAAGCAGACCCTTCCCAGTCAAACCTCTGAATGAGATCATAGCCCAGCCAATATCTTGACTGCAGCCTTGTGAGACCCTGAGCAGAGGACCCAGCTAAGTCACAAGCAGACTCCTGACCCAAGGAAACTGTGGGATAACAAATATATGTTTTTTTAAGTTTCTAGGTTTGGGTAATTTGTTATGTAGCACAAAGACTCAATACCGACATTGTGCCATGAAGAAGGAAAGGTGACAGACACCCTGTTGGCCAATTCTCAATTAAAATGATGATTTTACTTAGAGAGGTCACATTCTTCTGAGAACGCTCCAATTGAGGCCTCAATAAAACCAGAAGAATATAAAGAAAAAGATACATAATCATAGTAAGAATACAGTAAGAAAGGTTTTCTTGATAAATACCATCGAATTCAAAAGGGATAGAGGCCCCTGGAGGAAAAATGATGTTTCTAAATAGCCGATTAAATGAACGTTTCTCTATTTTTTTAAAAATCATTAACGGGAGTAGGAATTTGGAGAACTATATAAAAAGCCTCTTGCAAAGCCTCTTAGGGGAAAAATAGCCAAATAGCCTGGAAAGATGAGAGGATATTTACAACGTTATGTTGATGATAACGACAGCATGAGTCAATGCTATGGATTCTGTAAAAGTGCAAAGTGGCCTCTGGGTCTTATACAGTGGTCGATGTAGTGTGAGAGGGTATGGGGAAACAATTTTCCAGAAATCAGTGAAAGCATACATCTGGAAGAACTTTGGGTTCTGGTACATTTAAATTCTGTTTAAAGCTATTTTTTGCACAGATACAAAACATAGGATTGCCTCATGTGTTCTGTGTGCCTATGGTTAATGGGATCAACTCTAGGCACATACTTCAAGTATGCTTTAAGATATGTAAACAAGAGGTTTTTTTCCTTTTTTAATGATCTCCAATATTTTCACAAAATAGGAGGGCTTTATGTCTTTACAGCTATTTCTAGTGTACGAATTCTAACTATATGGAGTCCAGGGTGTGCAAAAATTTATTGAGGGAAAAAAATTAATGAGTCATCCTTATATCACTTATCTTTATGTTATTCATATTGTCCCACATTGTGCAAGCATACATAGTGTCTTGTAAGAAACATACTGTGCACTGAATGAATAAACTAGCAAAAGAAACTCTAAAGAATATTTATGCCATAATTTAATTTTTAAATCAACTTCTGAAAAATATTACTATTCAATTTATAGCAATTAGTATTTATAGCACCTGGTGTCAGGAACCAAGGATAAATAGATGAAGGAGACATTGTCCTATATTCCAAGGATGTGATACAATAATGCATTGGGTGCATAGTATTCCTCACAGAGGAAAACTGAAATACATCTTTATTTGTGATTGGTTATGATTTTATCTTCTTCTGGTGTGACTCTTTCAGCTCTCAACTGGATTAAAGCCCCCTTGGCAAGGAGACTAATTTCTTTCTTTTTTTTTTCTTTTTTTTTTTTTCTTTTATTGTTGAGAAAGAGAGAGAGTGAGCAGGGAGGGCCAGAGAGAGAGGTAACACAGAATCCGAAGCAGGCTCCAGGCTCTGAGCTGTCAGCATAGAGCCCGATGCGGGGTTCAAACTCACAAACTGTGAGATCATGACCTGAGCCAAAGTCGGACGCTTAACCGACTGAGCCACCCAGGCACCCCAAGAAGATTAATTTCCATATTATTTTACAGCTTCTGAAAATACTGAATATATCACTTTGCTCATAATAGATGTTCAATGAATCTTTGTAAATGTTTACTAATTGAGACACATAGATTTTATCTCCCATTTATATCAACAGTAGCATTTAGGTTTTAAACTTTCATGTCTATTCAATTATGCCCACTCAGCCCTTTCAGTTATATTTTTAAAAAATATACCTGCATCTCTATGTGTGTTACAGGAATTCATTTTATTTAATTTTATAAAACAAGTTTTTAGAATAAAATGTTAGTAATTGAAGAATATTTGTCTAAATCCATCAATATAGCATGTTGACTGCTCGTTCTCAGCTTTTCCAAATCACTGGTTCTTAGGAGGT